AGCCGTAAATGCGGCATACAGGGAACACCTCGGTGGGGCCAGGTGAAAATATGATGTATGATTGCGTCATTGAAGTCAAGATGGGTTTGTTTTGTTGTATTCATACATTGTCCTGCCCATTGCATAAGTTCTAATCCATTTGGCCATGGTTGGCTGAATAGCGTTCATAAAGCTTTGTCTTCATTTCTAGAAGAATGGTAAATGAACACCTGCTGCTTTTTCATTCAGAGGCTCAAGAGCTGAACATGTTCATCTCAGACTTAATTCATTTTGATGCCAAGCAATGAACGTGCTTTTCAAGAGCCGCTCGAGCCAGCCAGCCACTGGAGCCAAACCTGGTAAAGATCAAGGTGATGAGTGGCCGGCTGTGATGGGGCGACGATGGCGGTGATGAATGTGGCGGTGATGGGGCGATGATGATGGCGATCATGCATTGAGGGATGGATATCAGCGCATGTTTATTGGATTCAACCCATGGGCAACCGCCTCATGGATATGCCGTGCGAGCTCAAACAATGCCTATCTTGCGCGCAGCTTGCTTTTTCTGGTATAGAACGTTAAATGACTTCAGAGCCCGACGAGGCCCGGCTGATGCCGGGCTTTATCGGGCTCTGAAGTTACACAAGCTGAGTTTCTGCAAATTCACAATGTCATTTGATGACAAAAGCTGATTCTGCAATTCTGCAAATTGTTTCTGCTCTCAAAAGCCGTTTCTTAGATCAAGCCGATGTCATTTGAAGAAGTCAAGCCAAGTTGAAAAAACACAATTCATGGCAGTTCACGGCATACTTCCGTGATACTTACCAAACCGCTTTCATTGAGCTTTGCCGGCATGCCACACGCCGATGTCGAGCCTAATGCGCTTGGCGAAATAGACTTCCTGAGAATCATGCGTTCCTCGAGATTCACGGATGTCAAGAGACTTGGTGAAGGTGGCTTTGGTGTGGTTTACAAGGGTAAACACGCAGAAGGGCAACTACGCGTGGTCAAGTTCACCCCCAACGCGCATGAGGAGCTCTTAGAAGAAGGAAAGAAAATGGCAAAGCTGAGGCACCCATCATTGATCCAGATGTTCAAGGTGTGGCGAACCTCTGATCCAGACTCAGCGTACGTGGAGATGGAGTTTTGCGGTGGGGGAGATGTTCACAGCCGGATTTATGGAGGGCCGACTCTTGCAGCAGAACTCATCCTGTGGCCTGCCTGCATTTGATAAATTTGTTGTCGGTTTGCATAAATTTTGAACTCCATAGTAAGGACTGACTGCAGTTGATTTTTTGACATGTGTGCATTTTACATGTCGTCATCGTTTGCTCAAATGCAGGAAATGGATCCATCAATGCATGGGAGGCATCCACTTCATGCACAGTCTCTTGTCATTGAAGTTTGCCTGAGGCTCATTTACTAAGAAATTCAAGTTTTTTTCATGATACGATGTCATTATTTAGTCAAAGACCGTTGTTTTCAATCAAGCCAAGGTCACGAAATACTTCACTGTGACATCAAACCAGCTAATATATTTCTGACAAGTGATGACAATGCAAAACTGGGCGACTTTGGACTGGCTGTCAAAGGAAGTCATGCCGTTTGGCTAGAATAAATGGCTGACACGTTTCAATGAAAAAATTATGCCCTTGAGTCCTTGATTGAGAATTGAGAATTGCGTGGATGTGATTAGTTTTGATTATCAAGCAGTGGTCAACCTTGTGTCGTCACAGGCCCTTCTGCGCGGTACTATGGAATATCTTCCTGCGTCTGCATTGGAAACACAAACAGTGTGGCCATGGGCTGACGTCTATGGACTTGGAGCAGCCTCTCTCTGGGAACTTATTGAAAGAGATCTTCTTTTTCCTGAGACGCCTTTGACCAAGGAAACTCATTGTTTGAATTCAATATATGTCAACTTGAAGTGTTTAAATTGACTCCTTTTGTTCTTATCGTCGCTGGAACTGTGCATGAGCTTAAGCGGCCAGGACCACGCTAGATACCCGTTCCCAGAAATGAGTCCAGCGCGAAGTCCATGGCGGGACTACAATGGCCGCCTTCAACGTGTATTCGATGAGGCCAAGGAAGAGTATTCGTCAGCTTCCTTCGCCGACACGGTGGACTGGTTGGAAGAAATCATGCGGCAGTTACAGTTGCAGACAGACGAGATGCCTACTGGACCAGCAGCTATCGAACAACATGTTCGTAAGGTTAGGAAGCGAGGAGGCAAACCATCAGCCAAAGCATCGAATATGGCCAACCAAGCCAGAAGAGTTCGCCGTGCCTCGGAAGCACTAAGTAAAATATCCATACTATAACCCACTTTGACACAAACAACTATAAGATTTGACTTGGCACAGATTATCATCTATAAAACTGTTGATACATCTTTGAACTACTCAGGAAAAGCTGCCAAGAATAAGAAGAAGAATGAGGGCAACGGCAATGGCACGGAATCAATGCCTACTTCTTAGAGGACTGAAGTTTGACATTTGATGCGTGAAGACATTCGTTGGTATTATGTTAATAACACACATTTCTTAATCTTACCCCAAAACCACAAAAACGCAACTCTTAAACGTCGGCCCCCCAAAACGCAACCGCTAAACGTCGCCCACCCCTCGCCGGACAAACCTGGCTTCTCACGGAAAGTTTGGCTGGCGAGAGCTACCCCCCCCGGCAATTCTAGATTCGCTTGGCGAGAGGGACCCCCCCCGCTACGGATCCGTCACGGGGGGGGTAGCCCTCGCCACACGGGCATCAACGGTGGGGGTGGCCCTCGCCAGGCGAACCCAGCTTTGCCTGGCGAGAGCTACCCCCCAACGGGGGGGGTAGCTCTCGCCGCGACTTTTTACCGAGGGCACCATTTTGACAGCTGGCAGGACTGGAGCCTGAACCAAGTCATGACTGCTATTTACCCCAGCGACTTGCCAGTCATTCAGACTTTAATTTTTCAAGTTTCAAAGAAGACTGTGGAAGGGATATTGCTGCTCTCAGGTCTCAAAGGCGCTCTGGCTGATGTGATCATTCGCGGAAAAAATATGCAGGACTGATTATGTTCAATAATGAACTTTCAAAGACTTGCAAGAAACAAATCTTGTTGCATCATGATTCTTGGGCGGGTGGATTTCGCAATTTTTAGATCAATCTTTGTCTGCCTTGACCTGCCGCGCCCGCCACATCGTCACAACGTGATGCCGGACCATTGGACTAAGTGGAAATTGAACAAAAAGGAGGAGAAAGAAGTAGAGGAACACGAGAAGACGGTTTACGATGGCAGCATTGCTATGGGGAACACCGTTGAGGATGCCCAGAAAGCTGCGCGCGAGGCCAAACTGGCCAAGACCAAGGCGCGCAGGACAAAACCAAAAAACTGTCATGTGCACAAAAAGACACATTATGTTCATTCAACTCAATTCAAAAGATTTCGACCGACTGTTTTTGGAGTTCTTCACTGACAAGGCCATGAAGGAGCAGAAAATGGCCCGAGCGGCCGCCAAGAAATCTGGAACTGTTACCACTGTTGCCACTACTGCTGGGACCTACATTGACAAGGACAGCCTGCCACCGGAGGCCAACACCAGCTACTACGAGAAGCTTATGGACAGCATGAATGTCATCCTAGCCAACCACAACTTCTGTGACATCCAAACTGCAGAGGCGCTACCCATTGTTGATGGAGCTAAGACTTCAGGGGTGCAGGCTGGGGTTATTTGACAAGTCGTTGATTCAAGCAAAAGAAATGCTGTGATTGATTTACCATGCTTATTTTAATAATGACTCGGCCAGGAACCCTTCAACAGCAAGGCGTGCGAGATAGCCTTGCGCAAGGAGGGCACATACCGCTGCGGGATCAACCTTCTTTGGATTGACCCGTTTGCATCTATCACACCTGCAGTCCCCCTAGACCATTCCCGCGTCGTGGAGCTGGGGCAGTTCGCCTATCCTGATGGAAAAACTCCGAGACACCTCCAGGAGAACTTTCATGTAGCCACCGATGCTGCGGATGTGGACCTTTTGGGGAAGCGTGGAAAGTGGCGAGGAATCAGTCCTGAAGAGATGCAGCACAGTCTCATCTTTGCTTTGGCCAAGTGCATTGAGGACAAGGCAGGTGCAAAACGAATCATTCAAGACTGATGTTGATTTCATTTTTGAAACGACAATACAAATTTTAAACTATTAAGGCTTGTGTTCATCTCTTTTCTATGCCTTTCAGGTGGACGATGACTGTCTCCAGGATTGGCGAAAAATCTTTTTGACGGCTCCTTGCGTGATTACCATCGTGGGCAACGACGACCAGATGTTTTGGGAAGCCTTTCGCAAAAGACAGCAAGTCATTGCCTCCTATGACTGTGTCAAGCGGTCAGCTCGACAACTTGCGCGTGAGGTCCGTGCCTTCAAGGTGAAGAAGGAGAAGGAAACAGGAGAATCCCTATCCATCAAGGATATCACGGACCTTTTCGGTGAAAAGAAAGACCTGATGGCCAAATCTACTCGTCAGGGTGACATGGCCGACGGATTTGTCAAGGATTGCTTGTATGTCTATGACAAAATGTTGTCCGACCCAGACTGCAATCAAGTCCTTGATCGCTTAGAAGCATTGTTTGGCCTGGGTTCACCTTTAAATTCGCTGAGCAAGCTTCGGGTCGTCATTGAGAAGAGCGAGAACCTCGAGACAAGGCCAGCGGTCATTGATTGTTGACGTCATTGGTGTATGGTGTATATCAAAACATAAAATAATTGAGTGATAAGTTGCGCAACTTGACTTTGCTCAGGCAATGGGTCCTGCAGGTGCTCTGCGACATGATCGAAAATGGGCAGCTGGACAAGGATACCATTAGCAAAGGATATTTGCAAGGGAGTGGCACCAGCGCATCGCTGGTTGAACTGCTGAAGTTGAAGCGAAGCACTGTACAGCACTTTTTGCAGGTTCGGTTCGTGTGTTCTTGAAGCCGGTGTATCAATGAATAATGCTGTTTCTAATTTGTTTCAATTCCCTTGCAGGTGGAACTGCCAAGGAACCAGTTCGACACGGAGGATCTGAAGATGATCTATGAGAAGATCATGACAGTGAAGAACTACAGGAAGTATGTGAATCCGAGCAAGACAACGGACAGCTCTGTCCTTGCAGAGGTTCAGTGGATGTCTTCTTTGAAAGGCTCAAGCTTGCTGGTGCTACGGCTGATGGAGGACGACATTGTTCTTGTATTGAGTGTTCTTTCAGTCTTAGTCGTTCTTAATTTATAGTTTTTGTTCTTGATTTGTTTTTTAGCTGTGTTTGCAGGACCTTCTCTACAGCGTGACTTTGAATGGACCGCTGGTTGTGCTCTTGAAGAAGGGCAAAGGTGTGAGCCCGCTCGAACTTCTCGACATTGAGACGTTCAATGTCCGGTGGCAGCCCTGCTTGGCTGCCAAGAACAACGAGCTGGCGGCGGAGAAGGCATTGTACCAACAGGATGGCAAAAATGCCAAAGAAGATGTTTGCACCCAGATCGCCGAGGGAAGCTTGGCGCCACAGCCATCCAAGTACCCAAAAGGATCTCGTGAGTACCTTGGATTCAAACCACAAACTTTAGATGTTCTTCTAACTCACTGTTATGCTTTTGGTTGTCAAGTTTACGGAATCGATCATTGATCTGTCAGTGAGGCATTTTGTCGCTACCGCCGCGGAGCAGGTTCAGATCTATGTGAGCCTGGTCCCAGAGCCAGCCACAATGGCAGGAGTAGCCAAGGTGGTGAAAGAATCACATGTTGCACAGCATCTGGGTGCGCAGGGCAAAGGGTGCATCATGATCCACTTTGATGCGCAGCTTTTTGGTGAATCCTTGAAGCGGCCAGACAGGCGGTTCCCGCCATTGAGTCCTGCGCTTGTCAAGAAGCTTGTGCATGGTGCTTTGAAAGGGCGGGGGCGCAGCCCCAACTCCAAGGTCGGTGATGATCACTACGACAAGCCATTGGACGGTGACTATGTGTTCCTGAACGATGGTGGCCGCAATGTGCTTGAGTCCCTGCTCTCTCCTTTCAAGGCCAAGGAGACGGGCAAAGCCTCCATTGCCCACTACCTGGACACAACCGAAATCACCCTTTGCCTGAGCCAGGACCAACTTTGTGTCATTGAGCTCAAACTGGATTAAGTCTACAACACACATGTTTTAGGGGGCTTGAAGCAAACAGTCAAATAGTAGTCAAATCCGGCCCCAATGTACAGGAGTCAGTGGAGAGCAAGCGGAAGCTCAATCGAGGATCTATCAATCAGATTCAACGATGGCACGTCATCGGTACAGAACCGTTGTCATCCTGGATCCCGGAACGCAAACACTCAAAGTACCCTGGCAGTAACAGAGGCAACTGCATTGGTTGGATTGGGCTACCACCTCCAGCTGAGGAGTGGTCACTGACCTTCAACCAGAAGAAGCTTAAACTAAGATTTGGGCGTTTTTACCCGTATATATTAAGATGATGGATAAGAGAGAAGGAATATGTTTGTTCATGATTGTTCCTTGGAATTTGTCAGTCATTGAAAATTGTTCTGAGACCCGCCGAGGAAAGAGCTCTATGGAGCAAAGATGGTCGGCTGCGATGCCCCGACGAGCGAGGAGAAGGACAAAGAGGAGGTTCGCGATGGGGGAGCTTATGAGCCAGTCTTCTTCCACCACCTCCCGACAACCTTCTACCTGAACGCTTTGAAGGCCTATGAGGTGCGAGCTGTGGTGGATTTGACCACGGGATGTGGCAGCCTTGCGAAAGCAGCGCTACTTCAGAGGATCCCCTTCCTAGGCATGACGCTGACTGAGTCCCATGCCAGCCTTTTGAAGGCCGAGCTGGTGAAGTTCGTCAAGCAGAAGATGACTGAAGAAGGGAGCACGTTCTACAGCCCAGAGTGGTGTGCACTTGCTGGTGCTGGCGACGCTGGTGGGGGTGATCCAAAGCCAAAGCCCGGGCCGAAGGAGAAGGTAAAGCCTGAAGCCAAACCAAAGCCCGAAGCAAAGCCAAAACCCCGAGGCACTAAGAACAAGGGCTGCGGCGAGGATCCCAAGCCGAACAAGAAACCCAAGACCGATCTGATTGAATCATCTGAGGCGGACAGCGATGCTTCCGGCGAACGCTGCAGCTGAATGGCCAAAGGGAGCCTATTTCGGAAGCTTTTTGACAGGGCCCCCATGCCCTCATGCCATCGATCATGTTGGGTTCATCAGCGGTGACTGGGCCACGGCGCCTGAGTCTGAGACTGATGTTATCTGATTCTTGGCTGACAAAACCTGCAAGGCATGACCGGCTTGACTTTGGCCTGGTTCATTTCATCAGTTCAAAATTTTCAGACCTTTGGATCAAGTTGTAGGCTTGCATTGACATGTTTCAGTATTACTTGAGAGGAGGGAGACACGAAAGGTAGGACAGCGGGAAGAGAAGAGAACGCGAGAGGCAGGAACAAAAATGCAATGTTCGACATGGTGATTTATCCCCTCGGAGGCGACCTTTCGTAAATATATGTTCATATGCACTTTAAATGTTCAAACATGTGCTCTCGAAATGTTCAAAAAGATTCTTAGGAAAACAAACTTGCCCCATGGCTCAGATCATCGGTGAGCATTGAATCGGAACATCATAGGATTTGAACTATCCTGAAACCATAAGAGGCTCACGAAGACGCTCCCCAGGAGAGAATTGACGTGCTTCACAAAACAAACTCTAGGTATGTATCCCCTCGGGGAACACCTTTCGTGATTAGAATTTCATATTCACTCTTTCTGAATGTTCAAGAGGGTTTCAACTATCCTGAAATCATGAGAGGCTCACGAAGACGTTCTCCAGGAGAGAATTGATTTTAGAGGGGGGGAGGGGG